TGTGGGGGGGGGGGGGTACACATGTATGCTAAAGAGATAAAAGTATTTTTTTTTTTTTTATCTAATCAGACAGTTTCTGATTTCAAGGTATACCACAATCTTTATTAATAGTCAATTAATACATTTTTCATCAAAGTGTTTCTACAATTTAAATGCCTCAAAACAAGATAACAGTGAAAGAGATTTTATTTTTTTTGTACCGGTATGTATTTTGTATTTTATTTCTGTTACCAATTTGTCGCTCCAAACCATCATCGTGTTCAACTGTAAAGCAAGGAATAACCCTAAACTCCTGTGCTTGTTAAATTGTATCTGTAGAAAATAACAGCCAGTCATGACTTGTCTAGAGGAGAAGGAACTCCTGCCTCTCTTTTCAAATAATGCTATTGAAAAAAAGAAAAAAAAGTTAGCAACAAACTACCAGAGGTAGCATGTTAGCAGGTGAAATATACACCCTACCTTTGGCTCACTACAGAAGAATAAAAACACGGTCATGTCTATTTTTTTTGTGGTTTGAATATTTTTTGATATACGTAAACATACTAGAGGAAATATATTCTGCAAGAAGGCAAACACCACTAATTCTAGAACTTAGGGTAAACTGACTTCACTAACATTATAATAATAATAATAATAATGTCATCACAATGTCAGCACTGTATGTTTCCATACAATGGCGAAATTAGTCTCTGCATTTAACCCATCCACCACCAGGTGGTGCAGTGGGCAGCTATTCAAACTGAATTAAAAGAATAGTTATTTGATGAAGTTTTAGAAGCATCCAATGCTAATATGTTCTCTGAAGTTCTAGAATTGCGCCGCTCAAGGTGGCTGCATGTTGGAGCAGCTCTGTTACTTTCATTCTGAGATTTTGTTTTTGGAAACTTTAATTCCTCTTTTTCTGGATGTAAATCAAAATCATCAAAATGTAAACATTTTTTGGATGATTGTTTCCTCTGGTATCAGATGCTGTGCAGCTGGAAGGATTTTTACTGAAACTTTTTTAAGTTTTGGACATTTGTTATAATGCGTAACCATGGCAACAAGGCAGTTTTCTACAACCAACAGCAGCTGATTAACATCTCCAAAGCTCAAATAATATCTCAACTACAGCCACAAATCTCAAATGAGTTGAAAGGCTGTTCTGTGGACGCATTCTCATCTACCTGCCAGCTGTGCTCGAGTGCCTGACCACTGAGATCCTGGAAATAGCAGGAAACATGGCTCATGACAGAGGAAGGACAGGGTTGTCCCTTGGCACCTACAGTTGGCTGTCCGCAGTGACGAGGAGCTCAGCGGGCTGCTGGGAGGAATGGCCATCGCTCTGGGAGGAGTTCTGCCCGGCATTCTGGTGGTCCTACAGCCCGGGGGAACAGAGAGGCCAGCCAAGTCTGGGGGGACGGATCGGACGACATCTGCAGCCAGTTTCTTAGGATCCACTGTGGGATGGACCTTTACAAGAGATCCTTTCTGCCTACAGCCATCAGCATCTATAACATCTCAATGAAATGAGGATAATGAGTTATAACAACAAATAATTTCCCTTTGGGATTAATAAAGTATTTTTGAATTGAATTGAAACCATATTTTCTTGTTTTAATTCAGATAGATAGATAGATAGATAGATAGATAGATAGATAGATAGATAGATAGATAGATAGATAGATAGATAGATAGATAGATAGATAGATAGATAGATAGATAGATAGATAGATAGATAGATAGATAGATAGATAGATAGATAGATAGATAGATAGATAGATAGATAGATAGATAGATAGATAGATAGATAGATAGATGGATGGATGGATGGATGGATGGATGGAT